TCAGACTCCAAAAAAAGATTTACGCGCGTGCAGCCGTTGACGCGTTCTGCGAGGCGGCTGATGCGGGTGTGGAGCCGCCATTTCGTCGGTTCGAGGCGGAGTGGAGAGACCGCGGCTTCCGACATGGTCGTGTGATCGCCGTGGACGGCGGCAAACTTACAGTGGTTCGAGCCCACTGAAACTTGAGCAGTGGGCTCGAACCAGTGGACGGCAAACTTACAGTGGTTCGAGCCCACTGAAACTTGCGCAGTGGGCTCGAACCAGTGGACGGCAAACTTACAGTGGTTCGAGCCCACTGAAACTTGCGTGGGCTCGAACCACCCGCCACCACCAAGACTTGTTCAGACTTACAGCCCTCTCATCCTCCGCTCTCTGCTGTCGGCCCGCCTGTCGTCGCGGGCACTCGTCGCGCGGATCAGAGCGCCGCCGCGAGGCAGTGCTGCTCTCGTTGCGAGCGGCCTACTAGTCTTCGCTGCCAACGGTGACGTGGCCGCCGCCGGTTCGAGCCCAATGACGGACAGCGCGCCCCGTAAGTGCAAACATTGTGTGAGCAACGGCCACCCGCTGAACAAGCCACCCGGCACACCTATGAACGATGCACGCGAAGGCGGGACCGAGTGCGCCTCGTGCAGGAAGTTCCGGGCGAAAAAACCCCAGGGACCGCGTCCAACATGTAAGGATTGTATGGACAAAGGCCACCCGCTGAACAAGCCACCCGGCACACCTATGAACAACGCACGTCAACAAGGGTTAGACTGCGAATCCTGCCGCAAGTTCAAGAAAAAGCAGAAAATGCAGGTGGCGACAGCGCACGATGTCTCACCCCTCCCCCTCCTCCCCCTACACCCGCACGTCACCCCGAGGGCCGCCCCTCGAAGGCGGCGCGCCTCGATGTGGAGGCGCCGACGGCGGAGGCGCGGGTAGCGGAGGCAGAGCGGACGGTGGAGGCGGAGCGGACGGTGGGGGTGGCGGCAGAGGCGGAGGCGATCCCACTGCCGCCGCCGACACCGGAAGCACCGACGCGCCTGTCCGTCGTGCCGGCACCGCCCCCGCCGCAGCCGGAGGCGAAGGCAGCAGAGGAGGGGGGGGTCGTAGAGGAGGCGGCTGAGGCGGCTTCGGAGGCGCGGGCAACGGCGGTGGAGGCAGCGCGGACGGCGGCGGCGGCGGAGGCGCGGGCAGCGGCACAGCCCCCCCCCCCCCCCCCCCAACCCCACCCTCCCTCCTCCCTCCCCCCTCCTCCTTTGCAGCAGCGCAGCCGCTCCTCCAAGATCGAGATGGCGATGCAGGACTGGACGCAGCTGCTCAACCACGCCAACGAGGTCGCCACCTCGGAGACGTGGGAGCTGCCGCCCGAGGAGCTCTTCCTGCGGATCCTCGCGCGAATCAACAAGTCGAAGCGCGACATCCTGCAGGAAAAGTATAACCAGTGCCGCGACCCGTCCACCGCCGCCACCCACCGCTCCGTCTTCATCCGCGTGCTCAAGCGGTGCGCGCGCCGCCTCGACCCTGACCCCACACGCTCACCCGACGCCACCCCGACCCGCACAGCCACCCGCCGCCTCCCGGCGCGCACCCCGGCGCGCGCGCGCACCCGGCCCCGACGCGCCCCCCCGCCGCCACCGCAGGATCGCCGAGTCGTTTATGTCGTGCCTGCACAACATGCAGCTGCCGAACGCCGCAGCCCCCGGCGCCGCGAGATCCGCCCCAGAGACGATGGGACGGTAGGAGACGGTACGAGGGTAGTTGGTCGTGTGTGGTCGTCGGGGCCTCGTGCCAAATGTCGTGTGTGTCCTTCTAGGCACCTATATAGGCGCGCCTATATGTTTGGTTACGTCGAGTCACACGGCCGCTCACGGCCGCTCACGGCTGCTCACGGCTGCTCACGGCCACCCATGGCCACCCATGGCCACTCACGGCCACATGCGAGAAAATCGTAAAAAAAATATTTGAGGTGACCACGAATGATTAATGATTGTTCACAACCACACACGACCGCTTCCGAGCTTTCACTCACGACCACCACGACCACACACGGCCGCACGCGATCACACACGACGACACACGATCCCTCGCGACCATCGTGACCGCGTACGACCACACGCGATCGCGCGTGATCACACACTATCACGCGCGATCACTCACGACACTCACGACCGTCACGACCGCACACGGCATTCCACTCACGACCGTCGCGACCACACACGACAACACACGACAACACACGACTGCACCAGCTACCGTCTCGTCCGTCGACCGCCGTCTGTCTTAACGTTGTCGCTACGCTTTTTTGTGTCCGGTTTCGACTGTTTAGCAACTCTCTGTACTCTTTTCACCTTCTCGCGCTTCTTTTCGAGTTTTTCACTTCGATACGTCCGCCCGCTGCGAGTGGTGACCATCTGCCTTATTATGACACTCTTTTTAGTACCCCAGCACCGTGACTGGTGGCCGAATCGTGTGGCATCCGTCGTCCATGGTGATTGTTATGCGGTGCGCCGGGAGGCTCGTCTTGATGGTGTGAGCAACCACGTTGGGTTTGTTGTAGGCGAGTGTCTCGACGGGTGCTTGATGGCCGAGCATTTTCTGCTGAAAGAGCGGGAAGCTGATGTGCGGCTGGTGATGGAAGACGTGATAAACAACAACTGTGTAGATGTCGCGCAAGCAGTGTGTCGTGACACCGAAGAGACGGGTGACGCGTGTGCGGAGTTTGGTCGCCCATTTCGCGTTGAGTCTCGTCACCACCTCGGAATGACCCTCGCTCTTCTCCACCGCGTCCGTCTCTTCGCGACGCGGAGCAAAATAATACTCGTACGCAGGATGCCACATTTCGAAAGGAAGTACTGTCTGAATACAGTACGGTGGTGTGTCGTCCGTCGCACCCTGCTTCAACTGTCCCTTGAAGACGCAGCTGTAGGGATTGTCTTCCGTGGACGTGAACGTAGACCAGCCGCTCGTGATCTCGGACGTCCGGCGGCCTGTGATGAATAGCAGTATCCAGGCCGCCTCCACCTCGTGAAGAAATGTTGACTCCGACAATTTCGACAAGCACGGTCGGTGTTTGTTTGAATTGAATTGTTTGCACCACTCGGCAGCCATGATAATGTACCGTTGAACGTCATTGATCGTTTGACGACCGTCCGTCTGCTGTCGCTTCATACCGGCCTCCTTCAGCCTCTTACTCTCCACAATTTCTTGATTACTGAGTCTCAGGCGGTCGGTGAGCGGTACCTCTACGGACAATTTGAGATATAGCTCAAGAGCTTTTTGGTCAACGATCGGCGGCGTTGGATCGCGGAGCATCTTGCGCTGTTTTGATGGTGGAGCCGTGAGGAATGACACGAGGCCGGGGTCGTCACTGAAACGCTTCAAAGCTCGGACTCCCTTGGTGTACGATAGCGGCGGATCGGCCAATTCGAAATACTTCGTGCGCACCTGAGAGTACATTGAGCTGAGAGAGTTTGCTTTAAATGCGATTTCGCGCGAGGGTTCTTTTCCAAATGTCGCCGCGTAACACTTCGGACAGAGTTTCGCGACGTCGCCCGATTCGTCCGCGTTGTCCGCATGCAGTGCTTCGTTATCTTTGCACCTGTTGCACTGCTTGCGGCGACACAGTACGCTCTTGATCTGCTCGGCCAGCCTGTCACACTCTTCAGAGGACAGACCGACGCCTCCGTTCGAATCAACAATGAGTTGCACAGCATCGTCAATTTTGCCCATATCACAAGTTTAAATATATCCAAGAAAAAAATGCAGGGCGGGTGTATCCGACAAGCCGTGGGCAAGATCTTGCAAGGTCGCACGCCAGCCGGCCTGACTGAGGAGGAGGTGATGCACATCACTCAAGCTGGAAGAGACAAACTGATTCTCGAAGACAGCTTGATCCGTCTGGACGCGTCGCCGAGGATGATCGTCGGTGATATTCACGGGCATCTGGACACGCTCCTCTACATCTTCGACACATTTGGCTACCCGCCAGACAAGCGATACCTCTTCCTCGGCGATTACGTAGACAGAGGCCCTGATGGGCTGGAATGCATGTGCCTTTTGGTCAGCTACAAGGTCCTGTTCCCAGACACCGTCCACCTGCTGCGCGGGAACCACGAGAGTACGATCACCCATTACTACGGCTTCTACGACGAATGCGCCCGCAAGCTGAACAAACAGGCACATCTCCACTTCTTATGCCTGTTCGACACTCTCCCCTATGCAGCGCTAATCAGCAACAGCGTGCTGTGCATGCACGGGGGGCTCAGTCCCGACCTGCGAGCCATCGCAGACCTAGAGCGTCTACCGCGCCCGGCGCCCATACCAGACCAAGGACTCGTGACTGATTTGATGTGGAGCGATCCAGAACCGGGTTTGACTGGTTGGGCGATCGGGCGAGGGGGCGCATACACCTACGGCGAGAACGTTGTGGAGCGGTTCTGCAGGACGAACAGCCTCCAGCTCATCGTCCGTGCACACCAGATCGTTGACGCCGGCTATGAGTTCTTTGCGAACAAGAAACTCATCACTGTCTACTCTACACCCAATCACTGCGAGAGGGAGAACAAAGCATCCGTGCTCTGCGTGGAGCCATCAGAGGAAGCGGAGGGGGTGACGTTGAGTCTGCGGGTTTATAATAATACACACGTATTGCGGAACAAGACAACAATATAAGAGGCAGCGGCGACGGCAGCGGGCCGGGAAGCGGCGGCGGAGGCGGGCTCGGTGAGGGCGGCGACGGTGGAGGCGGCGAGGGAGGCGGCGGGTTCGGAGGCAGCGGCGAGGGCTGCGGCGGCGAGGGCTGCGGCAAGGGTGGCGGCGGCGAGGGCGGCGGCGGCGGCGAGGGGGGAGGCGGCGGCGGGCTGGGCGGCGGCGGCAGCGGCGGCGGCGAGTTGCGACGGCGGTGCCGAGTTGGGCGGCGGCGGGCTGGGCGGCGACGGGCTGGGCGGCGACGGGCTGGGCGGCGGCGACGGCAGCGGTGGGCTCGGTGGGGGCGACGGCGGAGGCTGGGGGCGGCGACGGTGGAGGCGGCGAGGGAGGCGGGCTCGGAGGCGGCGGCGAGGGCTGCGGCGGCGAGGGCTGCGGCGGCGAGGGCTGCGGCGGCAAGGGCGGCGGCGGCGAGGGCGGCGGCGGCGAGGGCGGCGGCGGCGGCGAGGGGGGAGGCGGCGACGGCGGCGGACTGGGTGGCGGCGGCGACGGCGGCGGCGAGTTGCGACGGCGGTGCCGAGTTGGGCGGCGGCGGGCTGGGCGGCGACGGGCTGGGCGGCGGCGGGTTGGGCGGCGGCGGCGACGGCAGCGGTGGGCTCGGTGGGGGGGCAGCGACGGCGAGGCTGGCTCGGTGGGGGCGGCGACGCGGTGGAGGCGGCGAGGGAGGCAGGCTCGGAGGCGGCGGGCTCGGAGGCGGCGGCGAGGGCGGCGGCGGGTTGGGCGGCAGCGGCGAGGGCGGCGGCGGCGGCGAGGGGGGAGGCGGCGGCGGGCTGGGTGCCGCATATGTTTACAAAGGAGGATGTGCTCCAATATAAGGCTAATGTAAGCTAACTTCTACCTTACAAAACAGTTACACAACCCAACGATATCTAATACTGTCTACATTTCCTTGGTCTGAATAACCCCGCCCCGCACACACAGATTCAGCCCAGCAATCGGCAGACAAGCCTCGAGCTCCTTCCGCACCTGTCCGACCCACCACGCATTGCGGGCTGGGTTGTGGTCGTACACGATAGCCACAGCGGCCTCGAGGGACTGACCAACAAGGGCCCTCGAACCCTTAGCCTTGAGGCGTCGCACAAAATCATTCGTGTCGTCTGCGTCGAACTCGACCGTTCTCGAACGCTTCTCGTTCTGTGCCTCGTCTTTCCTTGTCTGAGTCCTTGCCCGTCTCAATTCCTCCTCCATCTGCTCCCTGGCGCTCGCATCGGAGACGCGCACATGAACGAGACCTTCCTGTGTGTTGTAATTTCCTGTACTAGCCAGCTTCACCTTTTTGGCCTCTCTGAAGAGCGACTTGCACGTGCTCACAGTGAGTAGTTCACTTTTAAAGCGCTTGAGTGTCAGCTCATCTTGTTGTTTCCTCGGCAGGCGATCGTACGATTCCGAGTCCTTGTACTTCTTCCAGAGTTCCTTGATGGGTTCAAAATGAATTACATGACCAGACGAATCTGTCTCTTCAACTTGCTCGTATGTCTCGTGAATCCACCTCCCCAAAATGTTGCTCTCGTTGAGGAACTCGGATGCATTGTGCTCAAATTCAGCAGGCACGCACTGCTTTAGAGACATACCTGGCTCCCACACCTTGACCTCGTTGTCAGTGTGATCGTCCTCAATGAGGCACGCGAAGAGGGCGCAGTAGTACTGTTCATGAATCGCTTCATCCTTAAGACGCGTGTCCATAGGCCGGTACCGTATCGGATCACTATCTATGAGCTCCTCGTCCTCGGTGAAGGTGGTCGGGAAGGGAATGACGAGCCAGCGCCTTCGGGCCGAGTTCCCCGTGTGACCAACAAGCCTTGGTGGAATATTACAATCCATTACGATTGTGGCGCAGAGCTCTGTGTTCTGACCACACTTACTAAAATCGTGGCCAGTCCGCGCTGTTACTGACGAGTTGCCGGTCAGTTCGTTGATGTTATCGAGGCGAACCGGGGTATGTGGGTTCGGCTCCGAAAATTGCATAAAGCGCTTCTTGTGCAAGAGCCGTGCTTCTGGGTTTGCACCTGACTTGATACTGGCGTAGAGGAGGTCCTTGTGTGCCATCACAGCGTATCCAGCCTTATTCAGTAAATACACGAAGAGCTCGAGGATGAGACCTTTGCCGTTGCCGCCGCCGCCAGTTAAGAGGATGAAGTTCTCAAAGCGCTTACCGCTAAGCCCCGTCTTCAAGATGTTGAGCAGGCCACGTCTCATTCGCTTACAAGGCTGGATCTCTTGAAACCACCGTCTAACAGTAGCCTTTTCGTCCTCTGTTGGGTCGCGCCACGAGCGCTCGCAAGACATGAGCAGGTAGTCGAAGCAGTCAGGGACGAACCACCCCTTGTCACCCCGTTCTCGCGTCATATCGTACGCAATGTTGGTAAAGCAGAACGTGTACTCTTGCTTATCAAAAGGGTACTCCTGCATGCAGTACACGCACTTGTAGTCCATAATGGATTCACCGATGGATTTGAGCATACCCTGTTTCTGGGACGCCGTCTTGGCCTTGTTCAGCTCACCCTTCGCGCTCCTCAGGTCCTTGAGCTGTGCCGTGTCCGTTTTCATCTCGTCCTCCTTAGTCGCCAATTGCTGTATACGCCAGGTGTACAGTTCGTTTAGCATGAATGACAACTTGTAGCGTAGCCGGCGGTCAACGTTTTCGTCAGTCCATTCTTTGCCTGTCCAGTAGTATAGGTCTGCATGTCCAGAGACTTTGATCAGCTCGTCGTTATACATGCTAATATAGTAATCTCGCAGTTCGGTATCAGTGAAGTGGGTCTTCTGGTCGAAGCCCAGCATGCAACGACACATCGCTGTATGAGCTTTCATGTCCGACTTGCGCGAGTAGTACCGCAGCACATCAAAGCCCGCCGTCTTCACACCCACCTTCTTCCCCCACAGCTGAGTGAATTCATTATCCGACTTGTTGACCCGTAGGCAAACACCCTGAGCAACTTTTCTCCAAGACGATTTTTCTTCTGTATTTCCTGCCTTGTCGGACTCCACACGACACGCAGAGACGATGCGAGCCAGTTCCACAGGTCGATTTAAGTGATATATTGAGATGTTGTCCGCGACAGCGCTAACAAAATCTTGTGAAATAACAGAAATATCATCCATTTGAGGGCGATTTATTAGTGGAGAGAAAAAAATCGTGTCGCTTACTCACTTTCGTTTGACAGTGTGTATGCGGCAGGGTCACCCAACAGTACAACACATGTGGCGTTGGACGTCGACACAATGCTTGGCATATAAGAGTTTGGATGCACGCTGATGTGAAATCGGGACTTGTAGAGTCGGTCTTCGTGCACCGCTTTGCTGAAGCCACCAATACTAATACTCATACCACGACTGCTCAAGCAATCTATCATTGGCTTCATTAGTTGGCTAACGTACATTGTACCTGTCAATAGATCGCGAGCAACAAAGCAGTTGCCCCTCGAGCCATGTTCGCGTTTTACCGCCACAAGACCGAATGGGGCGGTGAGAGTACACGCTGAAAATGATGTAGGTTGTAGGGGCTTGGCGTTAGCCAGTGTGGTGGGGGGCTGCAACAGCGCCGACGCGGGTACGAGTAATTCTTCCATGTGGAAAGCTTTATAGTAGAGAGAAAAAAAATCCTCCTTTGAGTCGATTGACGAATTTGCCGACAAATGAGCGACGCGACTAGCCCTGCACGGGCGACTACTGAGGCGAGTCTGTATGCGGCCTCTACAGCTCAGGCACCGAGCACTTGCACAGCCGCCTGGGAGAGCGGCGGTGAGGGCGTCAGTCGTGAGGGCGGTCGCGGCGCGGGAGGCGGGCGAGGGCGAGAGGCGGCCAGGGGAGAGAGAAGAAGGCTGAGAGGAGAGAGAAGGCAGGGAGGAGAGAGGCGGCCGGGGCAGAGGCGGGAGGGAGGAGAGAGGAGGAATATATGATTTGAAGGAGGGTCCGGGTCACAAGAATTCAGAAATTCAGTTTTTTGGGGGAAATTGTTGGAATATTTTTTTGTAGGGTCTGGTCGCAGGTGCCAATATAAACGCAAGAATTCAGAAATTCAGTTTTTTTGGGAAAAATTTGAAATATAATTTTTTGGGTCCCAGGGCAGGGTCCCCGAGGGGCCAAGATTTTCTGAAGAATTTCTCCCAAAAAAACTGAATTTCTGAATTTTGCTTATATTGGACCCATGGGCCTCGGGGCGGGCGAGCCTCAGTGCCAGTGCCTCGAGGCCTCGGGGCCGGCGAGCCTCAGGGTGTGGCGCGGCTAGCGCGTCCGCTCTCGGCGACACGGACATCGCGAGAGCATTCTGAATTCACACATCGCGAGAGCATTCTGAATTCACACATGAGCACACATGACTTTTTTCCTACGTATAAATAAATGAGTCTCATTCCGACTCAGTCAAGCAAGCGACACAAAGCAATAGAAGCTGTACGTCAGAAGACGCCAGAGAGGTATTTGCCCAAGTTGAGCAAAGAAGAACACGTGCTGCCAGAGGGGCATCCGTTGAGCGTGCTCTTCGACGAGACGCTCATGCGTAAGATGGCATCTCCCCTCAAGGACTCCGTGCTAAGAACATCATTGGGAGCAGCGAATGCGGGTGGTTGTGATATCCAAGCATCCAGCATCGACAGGGAGCGTATCGCTAGACTTCTCGACTCCCTCAAGAGCGCGACGCTTGCATTGCTGCAGGACGCGTCACAGTACAAGCGATTGAGTGATGCTGGTGGCAATCCTCCACGGTCGCTCGTCTCGGACCTCCGCGAGGACCTGCTCCGCGTGGCTCGTATCCGATACCTGCTAGGCTACGTCGAGTTGAATCAGTGCATGAGGCGGAAGCCGAGAGACGACAACAAGAGATCTGGTCTTCCGAATGCAGACGCCACAGCTGATAGGCCAGCGGCTCGTACGGGCAGGCCTGTGAAAGGCGCTAACGAGCACTTCCTGAAACTAAACGCAAAGAAGGTGGAAAAAAATAATGAACGAAAGCTGCTGCTGGCGGAACTTGTCCAACTTAGGGCGAAAAGGCGCTATGCCCCTCAGAGCATTCTACCTGCTATGAATGAGCAGATTGAGAGGAAGACGGCAAGACTAAAACAACAATTCAAGAATAAAGAGGAAATGTATCTGGATCCTCGCTTGCGGTTTACCTACCCACTACACAAAGCCCACTCCTACAGATTGGGTCCCTGTCTGTCCGCAGATCGTTTTGGAATAGAGGACCTAGAGGAGGATGGCGTGAGTCACGCGCTTGCTCAAGTGTGGCGCAATAATTTTCTGATAAAGCCTGAAAAGGGAGAAATCTCGCCCCGACGCCAAGCGGATACGATAGACGTCAAGGTATATGACGGTGCTTCTCCCAAGCCTGCGGCAGGCAGCAATCTAAGAAAGTTGTTTGACGAATTCTCCGCGTTGAAAAACAAACGAAACACTGCAAAATGTCTGGGCAAGTTCCTAATTGAAATCGATCTATTTACAAGTCTGTTTGTTTACCTCGAGGAAGCCGCCGAGGCACATACGGATGTGGCTTTCCTGCCATATTCTGGATTTGTAGACGATGTTGAGAAGGCTATGGAGCGAGAGTTTCAATACGACCCTCCATTTCGTACAGTAACAGCTACTGAAGGGAAGAAGGAGTGGAAAGAGCAAAAGGATACGGTGGCGACGCTACTCGAAATAGTGACAGAGGGTGCACGAGCGTAGCCTCAATGCAAGAATAGGTATACACACATGGCCACACATGATTTTTTTTGCTCACATTAAAAGGAATTGAGGATGTTTGAGGCGCACAATGTAGACCCACTGGCTAACAACTTGTGCGCTGTCTACGATGTAGACATGTGCGCATCTAACCAAGTGGCCGCGCCTTCTCCCCCTCCAAAGGAGCAACCATCTAGATGGTGGGTCTGGGATGTAGCGGGCAAACTCATTCTTCTTCTAGTCGCTGGTGTTGCGATTGCGCTAGTGTGGAAAAATCCAGGCGATTGGTTGGGGAAAATGAAGACGGCTGCGTATGACGGCATTGGTTTAATAGCAACTGTATTAAGCCACAAACACAATGAGACTGAGATACCGTTTGAGAGGCTGACGGCGGCAGCTCGCCAGGCAGAGTTGGCGGCTCGCCAAGCAGAGGCAGCTATCTACGCGACGGCACCCACACCGCCTCCACCCTCGACCACGTCCACACCACCGCCCTCGCCACCGCCCACGCCGCCTCCACCCTCGCCTCCAGCGCTAAATTGCGTGGCACCGCCGATGCCAGCGGCGCCACACCCCGCCAAGCCAACATCATCAGCGAAGGTGACGGCGGAGGAGGGCGAGGCGGCACGGAGACGCGAGGCGGTGGAGGAGGCGGAGGCTGCACGGAAGGCGGAGGCTGCGCGGGAGGCGGCGGAGGAGGCGGAGGCTGCGCGGAAGGCGAAGCAGGAGGCGGAGGCTGCGCGGAAGGCGGAGGCTGCGCGGAAGGCGAAGCAGGAGGCGGAGGCTGCGCGGAAGGCGGAGGCTGCGCGGAAGGCGACGGAAGAGGCGGAGGCTGCGTGGAAGGCGGCGGAGGAGGCGGAGGCTGCGCGGAAGGCGGAGGCTGCGCGGAAGGCGGAGGCTGCGCGGAAGGCGAAGCAGGAGGCGGAGGCTGCGCGGAAGGCGGAGGCTGCGCGGAAGGCGAAGCAGGAGGCGGAGGCTGCGCGGAAGGCGGAGGCTGCGCGGAAGGCGACGGAAGAGGCGGAGGCTGCGTGGAAGGCGGCGGAGGAGGCGGAGGCTGCGCGGAAGGCGGAGGCTGCGCGGAAGGCGGAGGCTGCGCGGAAGGCGACGGAGAAGGCGGAGGCTGCGCGGAAGGCGGAGGCTGCGCGGAAGGCGAAGCAGGAGGCGGAGGCTGCGCGGAAGGCGGAGGCTGCGCGGAAGGCGAAGCAGGCGGCGGAGGCTGCGCGGAAGGCGGCAGAAGAGGCGGAGGCTGCGCGGAAGGCGGCGGAGGAGGCGGAGGCGAAGCGGAAGGCGACTGAGGAGGCCGTGGCGGGACCGAAGCGTAATGATACGGCTCCTGTGAATGTGCGGCGCGGCGGCGCACACCCCGCCGCGCAGGCCAGCAGTTCGAGTGACCCCAACCCCAAGCCGACGCCATCAGCGGCGCCAAAGCCCGTGGCGCCCACGGTGCCAAAGTCCGCCAAGCAAACGCCATCAGCGGCGCCAAAGCCCGCCAAGCCAACGCCACCAACGACGGCCAAGGCACCAGAGCCTGCGAAGCGGAAGGCGGGTGAGGAGGCCAAGGCGGGACAGAAGCGTAAAGATACGGCTCCTGTGAATGTGCGGCGCGGCGGCGCACACCCCGCCGCGCAGACCTCGGGCGGTGCCAGCAGTTCGAGTGACCCCAACCCCAAGCCGACGCCATCAGCGGCGCCAAAGCCCGTGGCGCCCACGGTGCCAAAGTCCGCCAAGCCGACGCCATCAGCGGCGCCAAAGCCCGTGGCGCCCACGGTGCCAAAGTCCGCCAAGCAAACGTCATCAGCGGCGCCAAAGCCCGCCAAGCCAACGCCACCAACGGCGGCCAAGGCACCAGTGCCTGCGAAGCGGAAGGCGGGTGAGGAGGCCGAGGCGGCACCGAAGCGTAATGGTACGGCTCCTGTGATTGTGCGGCGCGGCGGCGCGCACCCCGCCGCGCAGACCTCGGGCGGTGCCAGCAGTTCGAGTGATCCTAACCCCAAGCCGACGCCATCAGCGGCGCCAAAGCCCGTGGCGCCCACGGTGCCAAAGTCCGCCAAGCAAACGGCATCAGCGGCGCCAAAGCCCGCCAAGCCAACGCCACCAACGTCGGCCAAGGCACCAGTGCCTGCGGAGGCGGCTCGCAAGGCAAAGGCTGCGTGCAAGAACACTGCGGTCTCGCAGAGAGAAGTAATGCGCAAGAGCGAGAGCCAGAGCAAGAGCAAAAAAACCTCACAGTCGAACGAGATGGGTCCGGAGATTGTAGACCTCGCACAGTTGTCCGACCTCGGCGGCGAAGCGAATCGTGACAGGGGGGAACGCGAGCTGGCTGAGTTACGAGAGCAGGCGCCGCCGTCGTCGCCGACGGAATCGGAGAGGTCGTTCAAGGACACTCGCCGATTTCGGCGTCACTAGTAGTGGCACTAGCCAATCGTGGCGGAGGTGTGGCGGCGACGCGCGCACGCCAAGGGATCGGGCGCGAGAGACGAGGCGGCACGCGCAGAAGGGTGCACCGGAGTGCCACCGTCACTCACGCCCGCCGCCGCCGCCGTCCGAAGTTCGTGCGAGGGTGGTGGAGCGGTGGGAGCGCTCGCGGGTGAGGCTCGTCGGTCGGTCGAGCGGGCGGGTGGTGGGGGAGGGCCGCCGTGGCCCTCGGCCGCGGCCGAACCGCGCGGAGCGGGCCGCGGGGCGGCGCAGGAGGCGCCCTGGCCGCGGCGGCGAGCTGGTGAGCTGGCTGGTGAGCTGGGCTCGTACACAGGGAGGGTACGGTAGCTTATACGCCCTTTGTTCTCTACTCATAAAATCGGAGGGTCGGCCCACGGGGGGACTGAAGCGACCCAACGATTTCAATAGTGGCCGCAAAGGGAGTGACTTTATACTACGCGCGCCAAAGCGCCCTACCTACCTACCTATCCCCAGGCCGCGCAGCGAAGCGAAAAAAGGGGAAAGGGGCAAAAATCGGGGGTGTATTACCTACCTGGACTACCTACCTGTTGCGACTACCTACGCGCAACGGCGAAATTCTTTTAATTTTAGCCCCGCCTCGCCTTAATGCTTAAAATCCCTGTGGCTGTGTGTGGCGTGTGGGCGGGGACCTGCTCCATCGTTTTCCCACCTCCCAGTTAGTGTAGAGGCGCGCCGTGCAGGCCCCAAGCGCCAAGGCAAGGATATGCGCCCTGGGTGCTGGGATGGCAGGCGGCTAAAAAAAAAGATCAAGGAGCTCACGGGTTGTCCGGCTCCACACATCCAGACTGGCGCGTGCTAAAAGAATTGAATGATGAATCGCGCTGCTCGTTCTCTGTGTCGCGATGCGCCCCCCCTCACCCGTTCCCCTGCGCCTCTCTCTCAGATCGTCCTTCCAAGCCGATCGCGCGCCTGCGGCCCACCTGGTGTCGCCGCGTTCGTCCGTTCGTGGGGGTCGTGGTGCCTCTTCTCTTCGACGTGTGCAAGGTGGGGACCCTGTCTCCTTAAATAATCTCCCATCCCTCGTTTGGCAAAGAATTTTTACATGGCTCGCAAACGAATTTCAGAATTCCGGCAACCCGCAGCTCGTCTTCTCTCTCTCCCCCCTTTTCTCTCACCACGCGTAGCGGAGTGGCCCCCGAGTTTGAAAAAAAAAGGCACGGACGCTTGCGTCCTAGCCTCCAACAACGCCTCCCCGGCGCAGAGGGCCCCCCGGAGGGATGCTCAACGCCCCACGCCACGCCGCTTGCCTATTCCCAGTTTCACCGCGGCGCACTTGGAGCACTTGGAGTGCAGTCGGTAACTCGCGGCGCCAATTCTTATTGTTGAGACACCAAGACAACAAGCGCCGAGCCTCCGGCGTGCAGTGCACCATGGACTTGTGCGCCGCCCCCGCGCCCGCTCCGCCCGCCCTCCCACCGCCCCACCGCCCGCCCTGTCTCCTCGCCGCAGCGTCGAAAAGTCCATCCAAAAGGTCAACCAGCTCGGCGCCGGTGGCGGTGGCGGCACCGACTCCAAGTACTTTCAGACGACAAAGAAGGGCGCGTGCCTCCCCCTCCGCCCCCCGACTCACCGCTGTGGGTGCGTCGTGGTGGGTCCCGATCGACCTCCTCCGCCCACCCGCGAAGACTCCCTCCCCTCCTCCGCCGCGCCGCAGGTGAGATTCACGAGTTGCGTGAGGAGCTCGCCAACCCAAAGATGGAGAAGAAGAAGGAGGCGGTCAAGAAGGTGATCGCCGCGATGACCGTGGGCAAGGACGTCTCGATGCTCTTCACCGACGTTGTCAACTGCATCCAGACGGCCCGCGCCTCCCGCTCACCTCGCTCTCCGCGCGCCACCGCCCCGCCGCTCCCTCCGCCCCCTCCACCCCATACTGGCGCCCCGCCCCCGGCTGAGGCGGGAACGGCTCGCGCAGGTCAACATCGAGCTCAAGAAGCTCGTCTATCTCTACCTGATCAACTATGCAAAGTCGCAGCCCGACCTCGCCATCCTCGCCGTCAACACCTTTGTCAAAGACACACAGGCAGCAACCCCCTTAGCTGCAGCAGCAGCACGAGCAGCAGTAGAGAGGCGGCGCCGCGCCACAGACTACCCCCCGTCGTCGGAACGCCTCTCCCCCCCCACCCCTCCGCCCCGGCACCGACCGCCCTTGCCTCCCTCCGCCGCCGCAGGACGTCAACCCGCTCATCCGCGCCCTCGCCGTCCGGACGATGGGGTGCATCCGCGTGGACAAGATCGTGAGATGTAGCCGAGAAGCCGAGAGGGGCGCGAGAGGGGCGCGAGACGCACCCGCGGGGGCGGGGCTGTCAAGCCGCCTCGCCTCTGTGGCGCGGGGGCGGGGGGGGGGGGGGACCAAGGCGCGTGCCGTCCGCTGCGAGCACTCTTCCTCTTGACCCGCCGCCGGAGCTGCGCAGGTCGAGTACCTTTGCGAGCCTCTGCGCAAATGCCTCAAGGACGAGGACCCGTACGTGCGGAAGACGTCCGCGGTCTGCGTCGCGAAGCTCTACGACATCAACGGTGTGCCTCCGGCGGTCGGGGAGGGGGGGCAGTCGGGATGTGACCCGTGACCCGTCCGGGACGCGTCCGCTGCTTGCGGGCAGGCGAGCTGGTCGAGGACCAGGGCTTCCTCGACATGGTGTACGACCTGCTCGGCGACTCGAACCCGATGGTGGTCTCGAACGCGGTCGCCGCGCTCGCCGAGATCTCGGAGACGTCCGAGCTGGGCCAAAAGGTCTTCCAGATCAACACGTCGACGCTGCAAAAGATGCTGGCCGCGCTCAACGAGTGCACTGAGTGGGGCCAGGTCTTGCTCCTCGCCCCTCACAAGAGGACTCATGAGGATGGCGGGGGCGGTGAGAAGGGTGGTAATGATGCCAGGTCTTCATCCTCGACTCGCTCGCGCTCTACTGCCCCTCGGACGGGCGCGAGGCCGAGTCGATCATCGAGCGCGTGACGCCGCGGCTGCAGCACGCAAACTCGGCGGTCGTGCTGTCCGCAGTCAAGGTGATGATCAAGTACATGGACCTGATCACGAGCCAGGACACGCTCAAGGCGCTCTACAAGAAGATGGCGCCGCCCCTCGTCACCCTCCTCTCCTCCGAGCCCGAGATCCAGTACGTCGCGCTGCGCAACATCAACCTGATAGTGCAGAAGCGGCCGACCATCCTCGCGCACGAGATCAAGGTCTTCTTCTCAAAGTACAACGACCCGATCTACGTCAAGATGGAGAAGCTCGAGATCATGATCAAGCTCGCCTCGGAGCGGAACGTCGACCAGGTCCCCCCCCCCACACACCACCCTCTCTCGCCCGGCACCAAACCGCCCCTCTGACCGCCGCCCCTCGGCCCCCTCGCAGGTGCTCATGGAGCTCAAGGAGTACGCCACCGAGGTGGACGTCGAGTTCGTGCGCCGGTCCGTGCGCGCCATCGGGCGGTGCGCGATCAAGCTCGAGCGCGCCGCCGAGCGCTGCATCAACGTGCTGCTCGAGCTCATCCAGACGAAGGCGTAGCGGGTAGCCGAGACCCGCAAGAGAGCAGCCGAGACCCGCTGCTCGAGCTCCTCCACAGCCAAGGCGCTCCGTCACAGCACGCCCCCCCTCCGGGACACAGGTCAACTACGTGGTGCAAGAGGCGGTCATCGTCATCAAGGACATCTTCCGCAAGTTCCCCAACCGGCGCGGCCCCCAATGCCGCCCCCTCGCCTCGACCGCGCACGGACCTTGGCCACGGGACCTCCACCACCCCGCCTCCACCCCGCCTCCACCCCGCCTCCACCCCGCCTCCACCCCGCCTCCACCCCGCCTCCACCCCGCCTCCACCCCGCGGCGTCCTCCCGGTGGCAGGTACGAGTCCATCATCGGCACGCTCTGCGAGAACCTCGACACGCTCGACGAGCCCGAGGCGAAGGGGTCGATGATCTGGATCATCGGCGAGTACGCGGAGCGGATCGACAACGCGGACGAGCTGCTCGAGTCCTTCCTCGAGTCGTTCGACGATGAGACCGCCTCCGTCCAGCTGCAGGTGGGCCAGACGGCTGCCAGAGTCTTGCCACCCGCCTACCCGCCTCTCGCTGTCTCTGCTGCCGCCGACGGCCTCGCCCGACTCGCGCCCCTCTCGCGCGTACCGCCTCACCCCCCCCCCCCCCCCCCGCCGGCAGATGCTCACCGCCACGGTCAAGCTCTTCCTCAAGCGGCCGGCGGAGACGCAAAAGATGGTGCAGGACGTGCTCACGCTCGCGACGCAGGACTCTGACAACCCCGACCTGCGCGACCGCGGCTACATCTACTGGCGCCCTCTCCTACGCCGAGCCCGCCCGCAGGGGACCCCTCGCGCCTTCTCCACGACGCGTCCTGCGACACGCTGGTAGGCGCCTGCTCTCGACCGACCCCGAGGCCGCCAAGCAGGTCGTGCTCGCCGAGAAGCCAAACATCAACGACGACTCCTTCACGCTCGACCCGTCCGTGCTCGACGAGCTCATCACGCACCTCTCCACCCTCGCCTCCATCTACCACAAGCCGCCCTCCACATTCATCACCGGCCGCACCCGCATGGTGCCCCGCGCGCGCCGCGGCGGGCGGTGCGAGCGGCGCCTCTTCAGCGCGCCGGTTGTGCGAGCAGGTGCCCACGCTCGGCGGCGGGGCGCACGACGACGAGTACGAGGAGAGCGACGCCAACATCACCTCCGACATGATGGACGGAGGGATGGGCGGTGCGCAGGCGGCGCCGCCCGCGATGCCCGCCCCCTCCGCCGGCGGGCTCGCCGACTTGCTGGGCCTCGACGACGAGATCGCCGCGCCGGCGGCCGGCGGCGGCGGCATGGGCGGCGCCGCGAGCTTGGCGCCGCCAGGCATGGCAGACCTCTTCGGGGGACCGCCTGCGCCCGCGCCCGCCGCCCCGTCCGCCAAGGTGGTGCTCCCCCCGGACCGCGGCGAGGGCATGCAGGTCCGCAGCGCCTTCGTCGCGCAGAACGGGCGCGTCTTCCAGCAGATCACCATCGAGAATCACTCGCCCGCGCCCCTGTCCGGCTTCGCCATCCAGTACAACAAAAACTCGTTTGGGCTGGTGCCGGAGTCGCCAGGGGCGCTCGGCCAGGCGAGGCGGTAGCCGAGATGCGGCCGAGATGCGGCCGAAATTCAGCGGCCGTTGGGTTTGGCCAAAGGAAGCCCCCCCCCCCCCCTTTCAGGCCCCCCCCCCCCCCCTCTCCCGGTGCCCCACCAGGTGATGCCGCCGCAACTCGCGCCGGGCCAGTCGCACACGGGGCTGATGCCGCTCACCGCGACGGGCCAGCCGCAAGACTCGAAGGGCCACGTGCAGATGGCGATCAAGAACAACGTGAAGGTCTTCTACTTCCAGGACCAGTGCGATGTCCTCGCCTTCCTCTCCGCCGACGGGCGCGTCGAGCGCGGCGCGCTGGGCGGCGGGATGCGGCCCTACTCGAGATTGCTTCCCGCACACGCCCTGGGCCACATGTAGGCGCCTTCCTCGAGCAGTGGAAGAGCATCGCTCAGGAGGCGGCGCTCGACGTGCAGGGCATCGGCCCCGCCAACGAGAATGTCGACTCGCTGTGCCCAAAGCTCGAGGCGTCCAACGTGTTTTTCATCGCGCGGCGCAAGCTGGACGGAGGCGCGGACATGCTCTACTTTTCGGTCAAGACACTCAACGGTGTCGTCATGCTGGCCGAGATCGGGCTGCGGCCAGGCCAAGGCATGGGCCGCGTCGTCGTCAAGGCGCAGCAGACGCCGTACGTATCCTTGCTCGCAGAGTCGCTCAAGGCGAAGCTCCTCTCCTAGCCCCGCGTTGCGGGCGAGTGCGGAGAGTGTGGGGTTGGTACTGGTGGCGGGCGCGCTGGGCGTGCGCAACATGCGCGGCCGGGGATGATATTGTGTGTGCGTGCGTGGTCCCTGCCGCCCGTGTTAGCCGGCGAGTACACGCAACCCAGTATGCAGTAAATTTACACACATGCAGCCTTCGCGTGCCAAGCTGCAGAACATGTGCGACTGCGAGTCAGCGCCTACGCGTACGCCGCTCACAAGGAGTCAGGCGCGCGGAGCGCCTGCGCGCCCGGAGCGCGCCCCGAAAAAAAAATTGAGGGTTGAGGAGGGCTAGATGCGATTTCTATTAAGAGTTGACTCACACGCTGGGAACCACTCGGCCCACCCGCAGGTCGAACCCACAGGCCCAATCTCGAGTGGCGGCGCTCCGCGCGGCCTGTGCAGCGGCGCGCTCCGCGCGTGTTCTGCAACGGCGCGCTCCGCGCGTGTCTGGTGTCTCTGGGCGCTACATGCCACCCATCCTGCGCAGATATAAGATGTGAGTCGTCGGCATCGACGAAGCCGCCTGGGACCCGTGCCGCATCCGCGCGCATGTCGCTCTCCTGCTTGATCGTCAGACAGTGCTCTCGCGTGGAACGCGCCCCCGCCGTACCATCCCGTCGCCGTGCCCTTCATCAACCGTGCGCTCGAGAACTGGGGCGGGCTCAACTGGGAAGACCGCTTTCACCACAACGACAGGTCACATGCACAGAGGGGCGGCCTTGGTGTGGTCATGACGCGGAACTAGAAGGCAAAGACACTTCGTCTGCGAGACGCGTGCTACCACGTCAGGCCAGCTTCGAAGCCGCGTGGCCACAACTGACTGCAACAGACTGTCTTCATGTGTCTAGACTCTACCGGTACCGCGGTGCGCTCCGCGCACATAGGTGCCAGCGCGCTCCGCGCGGTATCTAGCCAGCGCGCTCTGCGCGTGTGTCTAGCTAGCGCGCTCCGCGCGTGTGTCCAGCTAGGTAGCGCGCTCCGCGCGTGTGTCCGGGTAGCACCAGCGCGCTCCGCGCGCACGAGAATCCAACGCCTACACTTGTAGGCGTTGAAAGCTTGTTTCTGCAGCTTGGTGCGCGGGGCCGGGGCGCAGGGGAGAACGTCAACGAGCTGCAAGCTCCGGTTCGAGATTTTTGCCAATTTGTGTTCGTCTCGACTCTCGTTGACACACTCTCGTCACAGTCACGGAGTACACAGAGCGAGCGCCGCGGCGCGCGGAAATAGCGGGTAGCCGCAAAGCCATCTCGCGCGGCGGGGGCGTTGGCGACCGGCCCGGGGGCGCTCCCACTAGCTTAGGGTACCCCTAGGGTTCTGAGGGCCGGATTTTTTTAAGACCTTTTAAGAAATGGGGAGGTTTGGGGGCTCAAATTGTCATTTAAGAGATTGCAGGCACGGGGGGTCCCTCTTTTAAGACCGTTTAAGAAAATCGGCCTCACCGGCACGCGTCGCTGGGTTCCGCGTCGGTTTCTCCAATACTGCCGTTATTAGGCACAAACCCGCCACTGAAGACGCATCTGTAAGTCTGGTGCACTGGCAGGAGCCATACTCGCATAGGGGACGCGTGCCAGCTGACTGTAGCCAGCTTCCCGGCCTCCGGCGTCTACCGGGGAGCCTCCCGGACCATCGACCTCGGGAGCTCTCCCGCACCGTTTAAGCGTTTAAGACCGTTTAAGGAATTGGCGGCCCAGCAGCTCTTAAAACCTGCCATGGCAGGTTTTAAGCCGTTTAAGCCGCAGGCGCCCCAGGGCCCACCCTTTTAAGCCTAGGGGTACCCTAAGCCCACTAGGCACACTGCGGGCCGGTCCCCGCGCGCCGGTGGAGCGGCCGCGCGTGTTCTCTGGAGATGCGCGCCGGCGGGGGGAGCGGATTGAAGATCGTTCCACCACCGCGCGCGCACCGCCACACCGGCTCACACACCGGCTCAACACCAAGCCGATCGTGCAGGGCGGGGACACCGCATGTCCCTCTTGTTCCCGGGCATCCTCACACTATATTCCTGAGATAACTGGGCGATTATATCCATAAGGGGTTTCATCCCTTTTTGGTTTGGAGATTCGTGTTTCGGTTTTTCGGTTTTTGGGTAAAACGTATACAGAGCACTCCTCTCGGCGGCGCGAGATGCGGCCCCTGCCTTGGCTCCTCTGCTCCTATGCGGGAGCTATGGCGGGACCGCTATCGAGTACCTCTATCCATATTGTCTCAGAGTTTGACCGTTTTTATCTTTTATTATCGAATGCTCTCTCGTTCTCTCTGTTGCATACCTCCGTACGAGCGCGTCCGGAGAGCGCGCGCGTTCAGCGCCCCACCTTCGTCGGACGTCGCGACCGGCTGTCCCCCCGCCAACGATCTCGAGCGCTGTATGGGTCGCCTAAACGCCCCCTCCATGCTGTCGAAGCAGCGCTTCTAAATAGGCGCGGGTCAAGCCGCCACCATGGGCGCCATCCGGTGCAGATGCCCTCTCCACCTTGGGCATTGGCGGCTGACGCTGCACCGGCCATGCCCGCCCGAGGCTGCTAGGCCATGGGCCGGAGCTTCCCCTTCCGTGGGCAGGTTTGAGGACGTGGCCTAGGCGGGGATCTGGCGCCGGCTCACTTGGCACTTGGGCGCCGCCCGGGACTGGCCTCGTTTCCCGGTCCCGTCCGTACCAAAGCCGCCACCTGCGAGAGAGCTGAACAGCGTGAGCTAAGGCGCGCCTGGGGCTAGCGTACGTGGTAGAGTGCGGAGGGGAGTGGACGCGTGGCGGTATGGTCGACGCGGTATCGCCACCCCTCGAGCCACAGAGTTGTCGCAGGCTGGCCGGGCAAGCGCGCCAATTCGGTCCCGAGTACTTCGCCGTCGCGTCGGGTCCACCCCAGATGATCGGCGCGAGGTGCTCAAAGGCACCCGCGGTCTCGTGCTTTCCGAGCGCTGCATCGGGTACCTGCGCCGAGCCAGGAGATCAAGGGGTTGCGTTGAATGGCGCAGCGGGGCGGATGTCGTGGGCATGCAGCCCCTCCCACCCCCCTTCCGGGCTCACCCGGCCATCGACGCATGAGTGGTTGAGGACCACTCGCTCGTAGACCCACCGCCATGTGGCCAGCGGGTGGCGGTGAATGTTGGCTCGGCGCACCTAGGACCAGGCGCAGCCGTAATCGGCATGCGAGGGCTGCGATGCGTGTCGAAACCGGACGCGTGCGCCGCGAAGTAGTTGCTGGCGTACATGGACACTTTGGGAGGGGCATCGCCAAAGGCATGAGGCTTGCCAAACCACCGAGCGACGTTCTTCCAGCAAGTTGCAACCGAGAGGTTGTACTTGTCGCCGAGCAGAGACGCGGGGCGGTCCTTGACGAACATATCGTTGAGTGGCAAATAGCCAACCGATGGCTCTTTGCGGAGCATAGCGGCGAGGTAGCTCAGCCGCGTGCCGAGGTGGTTGATGCGCTCGTGAGCGTCGCCCTGCAGAAATGCGGTGATGTCGGGCAGCCGATCGTAGTGATCCACGACGAAGCGGAGGTAGACGCCCGCCTCGAATGCAAAGTTGGGCACGTAGCGGGGCGCTACCGGGTCGAGGCGCTGGTAGACGGGCGCCACGGCATAGTCGGCCCCCCTTGCAGGGCACGCCCAGGAAGGCACGCCCCGTCGCTCCCACTCGCGGTAGACCGCCGGCACAACAATGACAGGCTTTGGCCACGAAGAGGGGGCGGGCTCAGAGCGGGGGCCACTCGTGCATCTCGCAAGCTGCAACTGCAAGACGGAAGCGTTGACGGCAGCATTCTGACCTGACCGACGTATACGAGGCACCGACGGTTGCGACTCCCTCACCCGCGACAACTTTCCAGCCAGCCTCATCTCCATTGACACCTTCATCAACTCCCCCTCCCTCGAGCGGGTCATCGTGCCGACCGAAGTTGAAGTTGCGGGACAGTCGAGGAACGTGTGCCTCGATGGGACAACAATTGGAAGTAAGACGTTGCGCGGGTCCGTGTTGAAAAAACTAGTGTGGGACCTGCGGCGGTACCCGCCTCTGTTGTTCGGGCAGTGAGAGACCCGCGCGAAATTCTTTTTCTTTGCCCCTGACAACGCGTCCGACCCTGCGATCATGACGCTCAGCTCAGAAGAGGAAGAAGCGCCGCAGCCGGAGCCGGAGCCGGATGAGGGCTGCAGTCGAGATTCCTTGCTTGCGTTCATGCTCGAGACATCAATCGTCGTGAGCCACGCACAGGCGCCGCGGCCGAGTGCGTTCACGTCGCCACAGCCCGCCGCCGCGCCGCCACTCGCCTCGGTGCGAGCCGCGTGGAATGACTTTATCGGCGCGGCGCCCGAGCCGGCGGTGAGGCGCCGCTCAGCAGCCTCGTCGGTGGCGCCAAGAGTGGCGCTCCCGGCGTCTACCCTCGCGGACGACGCCGTCGAGGTGGGCTACGCCTTCCCCCCGGGGGCGACGCCGCCGCCGCGGCTCGCCGCGTTTTCGCTCCCATCCGTCGTTGCGGTGCCCGACGACCCCGAGGAGATGAGCCCGAGGCTCGTCCAGTTTTGCCTCACTTCGAGCGACGGCTCGCTGACTTGGGGCTGCGCGCTGCAGCGGGGCGAGGCGCGTCAGGTGTCGGCGGAGGAGGCGGAGGAGGCGGAGGCCCCGCCAGGCGCGCCGGGCACGGTCGCGGTGCACCGCCAGCTCTTTGCGCGCGCGCTGGTCTTGCTCTCCCCTTGGCCAATGGCGTGACTGCTCCCGCAGAGCTCTCCGGCGTCTGGCGGCGTCTCTTCACAGCCGTCGGGTGTGGGCAGGTGGAACTGCACAAGACGCTGCTCAAGCACCTCGTCGCCAACCGCGAGTGCCTCTGGCCGACGGCCGACGGCCGCGACGAGGCCGGGCCGGCGGACGGCGGCGGGGGCGGGGGCGGCGGCGGAGGTTTGGGTGCCGCAGCGGAGCGGGCGGCGCGGCTGACAGCGCTGCTGCGCGAGGCGGAGGCGGTGGTGCGGCAGAGCGTTCCGGAGCTGAGGTGGCTGCTGCGGCACCCGCTCTGGCTGCCGGTGCCGCTCGCGCCGCTCTGCAAGGCGCTGCAGTGGGAGAGCGCTGAGGCGCCGATCCGCCCCCCCCCCACACCGCCCGCTCCGCCCAGCCACCCTTCGGTCCACCGCTCCTCGGCCCACCGCTCCTCGCCCCGCCAGGTCGCCTACCTCCTGCTCGCCGCCCTCACCGACCAGCGCGTCCTCCTCCACTCGCGAGACCCCCTCGTCGCCTTCTCCGCCGCGAGTGCGTGCCCCCCCCCCCCCCCCCCCTCCCCCCTCCAACCCCCAACCCCCAACCTGCGGCCCCCCACACCTCGGCACACACCCGCCGCTCCAGCCCCACCCACACCCACACCCACGCGCATGTCCCGGCCCCTCCAGGCGCGCTGCGCTGCCTCCTCGCTCCGCTCGAGTACTCCGGCTCGTCGCACTCGCTGAGACAGCCCCTCCCGCTTACGAGAGGCGAGGGCTCCCCCCCCAAACACACACACTCCGAGCCTGGCCGCCTCCGCGTGCGGCAGGGGTCTTCATTCCCTTCCTGCCTGCCGGGCTCATGCCCCTCGAGGACGCTCGCACGCTGCTCTTCGACTGCTCGACCCCGTACCTGATTGCGTGCGAGCCCCACCCCTGCCCCACCTCTGCCCCACCCCTGCCCCCTCTCTCCCCACACCACGCCCTCGGCGCGTCCTCGACACGCCCCCCACACACCGGACGAGCCGCCCCGCCCCCGCCGAGGGCCTCTGCTGCCGCAGGTGCGAGACCCTCCTCGTCGCGCGGCTGGGCGCGGTCCTCGGCCGCCGCAGCGCAGAGGCCCGCCGCTTCCCGCGCCGCAGGAGTGGGGCGGTCGCGTCGCGCCTGTAGGTGCCGGACGTGGCGGTGGTGGCGGACCTCGACCGGGGTGCGCCGATCTGTGCCTGCCGCCCCCCTCTCCTCTTCGCGGTGGAGCGGCTCAGCGCCCCCTGCCGTTCCGCCGCTCCCGCCAGGCGCCGTCCACAAAGCCCCATCTACGGAGTGGTTCTCGGCGCGCGCACCGCCCGTCCTCTCGCTCTGCACCGAGCTGGCGGTCAGCGCGCGTGGCGGCGCCGGGCAGCAGGGGCGTGCCCCGAGCCGTACCTCTTCCGGAGGTAGGCGGCGTGCATGGGCGACTGCATTCGTTTCCGGCAGAGCGGCGTGCAGGCGAGGGCGAGCTTCGCACCCCGCCCCTCGCACCTCGCGCCACCCTCCGCACTCCCCTGCACTCTCGCTCTCACCGGCGCCGTCGCGGCGCGGCACCGGGCGTCACACAGCCCGCTCTCCTTGTTTGCCCGAGGTCGCATGCCTGCGCTTTGTGGTCGACGTCCTCAACTTGGGCTCCGGCTTCCTCGCCTCCTCGCGCGCGCCCGCCGACGATGCCGCGCGGCGGCAGCTGGCGCTACTTCGCACGTTTGCCGACGACGTCACCAGCCGGTGCCGCGCCAAGGGATTGGGTGCCGACGCCCTCGCAAGCCTGCAGCGGGCGAGGCTACAGTCGGAGGGCGCCATCCTTGCTGACGTCTGCGACGTGGCGCTCGCGAGTGCCGGGGAGGCGCGCGCGGAGCGGCTAACGGCCGACGGCGGCGCGTGGCACCGCGGCGGCCAAGACAACTGGGCCGCCGGCTTGCTGGGCGACGCCGCGCCGCACGCGGGGGGCCTCGCGGCGCAGCTGGCGGGCGGCGGCGAGCCCGCGCCGGTGTGCCGGCAGTTGCGGCACGTGTACGCGTCGCAGTCCTTCCGGCAGTGGTGGCTGCAGCCGTCGCGCACGCGCTCGCCCGATCGGTTGCAGTGGATGGAGTTCCGCGCAAAAGGCATCGACCTCTCCGAGTACGTGCGCGAGAATCGGGACTCCCTCGCCGTGCTGGAGCAGTCGGTTTCGCAGCGCATCCACGATTTGCTCGCCAAGGCTAGCGTCGATGGAGTCGAAAGGGCGGCTCCGCAGGAAGGCGACCCGTATCGACGAGAGGGGCTTGACAAGTGAGTCATCAGCGTGTGGTGTCTGAGACTCTGGTGTGTGGACTCGCGTGTGCTGCGGCTCTCTTTCATGCGCGCTGGGGTAGCGGGTCACCCTGTGAAGGTATCCCGTCGCTGTTAGACGCTGGCACGCGCTGGCCCCGGGGGGGCGCGGGCGTGGGGGGCTGTCTGTCCTCCTGCGCTCACGCGCTCAGCTCATATATTTTTGTGTGGCCGTCTCTGGCCTCTGGCCTCAGCTGGGGGCGGCCCGCGGCCGCGCCCCCAGGCGTGGGCTAGCTCCTATAGCTGCAAGCTGGGGGCTTGTTGGGGAGGGGGGCTCTGCCGTCCGCGGAGAGAAAACAGCCCTCTTTTATGTCTTAAAGCCGAGATATGTCCCCTCTCTCTTCCGCTCGCCCACAAATAAAAGATACCCGTAACCCCGAGAGCGGGAGGCAGAGCACAAGTGAGACAGGTCGCGCGCGATCCGGACGCCCCCCCGCATGCAGCACTACCATTGGCAAGGGACACCTCACGCGGGGAGGTGGGGGCGGGAGAGGGAGGGGCGGGAGGGGTATGGGAAAGGCAGGAGACACCCTCGTGGACACCTGCTCGCGAGCAGAGGCAGGGACGGGCGTAGAGACACACAGGGACGGCGGTACATAACCCCCTCGCGCCCGTCCCCCAGCTAGACCCCACGCTCCTAATGCTCCGCAGCGCATGTCCAGCGCGGGCTCAAGAGAACGCGGCCGTTTTGGAGTGGCGGCGGCGGGGAGGGGGCGTGGGCCCGGGACCATGTGTACGTGCGCACTTCGCGCTCCCTCACCCAAAGAGACGTCGCCCAGAGAGGATAGCCGTATCGACGACCGTACCGTCGAGCCCGTCGATGTCGACCGGCAGCTCGTCCGCGTGGTCGGTGTCGGGGTACGCGTGCGCGTGCTCCACCACGTGGTGGTGCTCAGCGTAGGTCGGATCCACATCAGGCAGGGGTGGCGCCGGGCCCGGCGGTGGGCATGGGGAGCCAATCAGCTCGCAGATGGTCTTTTGGATCTGCAAGTTGACTGTCGCGGCGAGCGATAGCAGCATTTGCACAGACGTGGCAACGTTGCCAGGCAACGGCGGCGGCGACGGCGGCGACGGCGGGAAGGGCGGCGGCGACGGAGGCGGTGCGGGGCCGTCGGGAGGGGGCGGGCCGGGAGGGGGAGGGGGTCCGGGAGGGGGGGGGCTTGGAGGCGGAGGCACGATTGCCTCGTCGGCGTCGGGGGTGCCGTCGCCGTCCGAGTCGGGGTCGAGGTAGTCGGGGATGCTGTCGCCGTCCGAGTCGATAACGCCCTCGTCGGCGTCGGGCAGCTTATCGCCGTCCGAGTCGGGGTCGAGGTTGTTTGGAATGCCGTCGCTGTCCGTGTCGACGTTGCCCTCCTCGGAGTCGGGGATGGCGTCGCCGTCCGAGTCGGGGTCGAGGTAGTCTGGAAGGGCGTCGCTGTCCGTGTCGGCGGAGCCCTCGTCCGCGTCGGGCAGCTTATCGCCGTCCGAGTCGGGGTCGAGGTCGTTCATAATGCCGTCGCTGTCCGTGTCCGCCGTGCCGCTTTCTTCCATGTCTGGCTTGCCGTCGCTGTCGGAATCATCGACCACAGTCTCCTTCATGTAGAGTGTCTGACAGCAGCCATCTTCTGGCACCGGCTTCCACATCTGAACGTACGCCATATCGTTGGCCGGCATCCCATCATCCGGGTTTTGGTAGATTTCAAGCATATCCATCGGTATGGCTGTCATGTCCGCAATCATTTCCTTTAGCGACGGAGTGTCGTACTTGAAGGATTCTATATTGGGGTCTATGTAGCCAAAGGTCGTGTAATCCTTGATGGGGAAGGTCATCGTCTCCCCAAAGGTGCCGGTGCCGATCAGATCGCTCGGCGTCGGAATGTGAGTGACGCAAGTGGCGGGCACGTCATCCACGTCCATGCGCACGTGGTGGCCGGGGATGACGTCCGCGCCCTCTAGGGTGTCGTTGTCATCGTATTCCACAAAGTCGTGCCCGGGGGTTGAGTCGAACAGGCGGATTTTGGTTTCGTCGTCAATACCGAGAAGCCCCGCGATTTGTCCCTTGAGCTGTGCGAATGTCGTCTCCGGGCCGTTTTCCGGCTCCATGTGGAGGAGCGAGCCAAAGGCGCCGTTCTGCGCACAGGAGACGCGGGTTTCGGCCTCAGACATTGAGGGGCGCGCTGCTTGGGGCGTGGACGTGGGATGCGGGATGAGGGGTGTGTGTGTGTGGGGGGGGGGGATCACCTCTTGCGGGCACTTGCCCTGGGAAAACTCTGAAGGCAGCTCGATGGAGATGACCATCTCAGGCAAGGGCGGCACCGTGTCCGAGTAGAAGTCGAGGTCCATGCACGGCTCAAGAGGGATAAGAACACTGTCGTCGGGGCACACATCAACTTGGGTGCCGGAAGTCGTAACGAGCTGGTCTTCAGCCGGGATGCCCAGGTAGGCCGCGAGCTTTCCTTTCAGCTCGCCGCATGTCATGCCGTCTTCCGTCGCAAGCACAATCTCTGGGCCAAAGGCGTCCACGAGCTCTTCAGGCGTCTTGATGCTCATCTGCAACGGGCGGTTGTGGGTGGGTGGTGGGCAGGTGATGGGCGGAGGCGGTGGGTGAGTCTCTCCACACGCCTTGACAGCTGTATCAGCAACATCGTCCGGGCCAAAGGTCCCTGGTAGCTCGACGTCGATGGTGTCGCCGGATTCGACGCCATCCTCTATGAGGGTCGTGCTGTCGGGGTAAGCTTCCTCTTCGTCGTGGTGGATCAGCGTGATGTCGGGGAAGGAGAGGCCGATCTTGTCAGCGATTTGCGCCTTGAGCTCTCCAAACGTGGCGTACGGCGACACCATCATATTGTAGCCCGCGCCGTCATGATCGACAACCCCTTCAAAGCATGTGCCCATGAAGACGTCGGGCAGGTGGATGCGGAGGAGGAAGGGCGGCAAGGGAGGTCCGGGGGGGGGCGGCGTCGGGTCGGGTGTGCCGTCGCTGTTCGTGTCCACCCCCTCCTCGCCGTTGGGTGTGCCGTCGCCGTCCGAGTCGGGGTCGGAACCGTTTGGAATGCCGTCGCTGTCATCATCCTCCTCGCCGCTGGGGACGCCGTCGCTGTCCGGGTCCTCCTCGCCGTCGGGTGTGCCGTCGCTGTTCGAGTCCACCGAGTTGGGGTCGGAATCGTTTGGAACGCCGTCGCCGTCCGAGTCGGGGTCGGAACCGTTTGGAATGCCGTCGCTGTCATCATCGCCCAGATCGCCCTCCTCGCCTTCGGGTGTGCCGTCGCCGTCCGAGTCGGGGTCGGAACCGTTTGGAATGCCGTCGCTGTCATCATCCTCCTCGCCCCTGGGGACGCCGTCGCTGTCCGGGTCCTCCTCGCCGTCGGGTGTGCCGTCGCTGTTCGAGTCCACCGAGTTGGGGTCGATACCGTTTGGAATGCCGTCGCTGTCATCATCCTCCTCGGCGTCGGGTGTGCCGTCGCTGTTCGTGTCCACCCCCTCCTCGCCTTCGGGTGTGCCGTCGCCGTCCGAGTCGGGGTCGGAACCGTTTGGAATGCCGTCGCTGTCATCATCCTCCTCGCCCCTGGGGACGCCGTCGCTGTCCGGGTCCTCCTCGCCGTCGGGTGTGCCGTCGCTGTTCGAGTCCACCGAGTTGGGGTCGATACCGTTTGGAATGCCGTCGCTGTCATCATCGGCGTTTGGGTCGACGTAGTTTGGGTCGTACTCGTTGGGGGTGCCGTCGCTGTCATCATCAAAGATGGGCGGCGGCGGCGGCTTGGGAGTCATCCCCGGCGGGAACGGTGGCGACGGCGGCGACGGTGGCGGCGAGGGTGGCGGCGACGGGCATGGGAACAGCTGATTGCCAACGGACATACAGTTGTCATATTGGAACTTGCACACCATGCAGCCAAACGTGCAGGACGGATAGCTTTCCCAATCGGTTGGGAACGACGGCGCCATAGGTTCGGCGTAGGAGCTATCACACTCTGCGGCGTCGTCGATCGATGGGCAAAACTCTCCCGTCTCCATGCCCCCGAGCCGCGTCTTGCCAGAGATGTCGTAGCCTCCCCCTCCTGGGCCGGTGATGCAGGAGTCCGGACTTGCCGGCGGCAGGGGCGGCGACGGCGACGGCGGCGGCTTCGGCGCCCGGAAAGGCGGGAACGGCGGTGCGGGTGGTGGCGGCGACGGGATCGGTGGCGGGGGCGAAAAGGAAGGGAGTCCGGGACTCGGTGAAGGAGGCGGCGGCTCGGGGTGCGGCGGGGCGGGCGGCGCTGGCGGCGGCATCGGCGGCGATGGCGGCGAGGGGGGCGGGGCGGGCGGGGCGGGCGGGGGCGACGGCGGGAAGTGATCGTAGCAGAAGACATCGAGCTCCTTGTACGCGATCTGCTCGTTGTACCAGTTCGAGTGCATGGTCACGCGGAGGTACATGGGGTCGCCGAACGAGAGGTGGGTGTTGTCGATGTCCGCCACGAAGGTCCGCGGCGTGTAGTCCAGCGCGATCTCCTTTGTGCACCCCTGAATCGCGATCAGCCTCGCCTCCTCCTCCGGGGTGCAGCTGTCGCAGCCGCAGCCGTGGCCGTCCTTGTCCGCGTCATAGTACAGACTGACTTGGTCTGTGGCGACGTGCGGCATGCCCCACTGGTAGTCGTACGAGCGGCCGACGAAGCTCAAGACGACCTGGCAGTGGTTGTCGCCGTGGACATACAGGTTGTGGTCCATCTCATCTGGGTGGCCTGGGCACGCCTCGACCTTGAGCCCCTCGGGCTCGGCTCCAAGAAGAGTGTCAAACTTGTGGGGCGTGGCTCCAACCGTGATGGCGATGCCGACATTCAGGCAGCCCTCTGCATGGATTGGGCCAAAGGTCTGGAAGACACCGGAGCCCCGGTTCTCACGCGCGCCGGAATGCTGTTCTCCGTAACTGTCGTGGCCGGTTCCGAAAAGCTTGGCGCCAATGAGCATGGGGCTGAAGCCGCCCCGCCAGGCCTGGGTAAAAAAGTTGGCGCTCAGGAACCGCGTGTTGGTGTACTCATCGAGCTCGTTGAGTTTGTCTGTAATCGGCATGAGGTTGTCTTTAATCCCAGTCGGCCAGCCCGTGATAGCGCATTCGACCAGGCCAGCGGCGCAGTACCAGTACTGCGTGCCCGGCGGTAACTGTCCCACCTCATTCGTGAATTGAACGTTCGATTCGAAGGGAGCCGCCCCACTCGCGACCACGGCGGTGAGGTCGGGCATGCCCCAGACCTGGTACCTGGGGCGCGTTATGGCGTCCACACCATCCACAGCAGCGAGCGCGAGCACAGCGGAGGCCGCACGCATGGCCGCAAGAGAATGCCCCGCGCTGCTGCGGACGTTCAACACAGCGCCAAAACGTCGCTCTGCTAACTAGGAGCGACACACCAAAAAACACGCCCCTCTTAGTCGTTATGAACGGCCGTCGTGGGACCGCGCCCGATTTCGCCAGTAGAAAGCTTATTACTTTCGAGAGCCCTTTTGGTGGGACAAAAGCAAGAGAGGGTCAAGGGGGGGGGGGGGGGTGATGGACGGGTGGATGGAGAGGTTGGGTGGGGGGGGTTGGGGGGGTGCGGGGGGGGGAGGGTGCGGGGGGGGGGGGGGGGGGTACCGCGGAAGGACTTGTTCCACCCCTCCCTGCACTGGATTTAGCCCGCCCGCGGTGCGTGGCGGGGATTGATCCCCTCGCTCGCGCCTCGGAAACAAACAAACCCCCCCAAAAAAACTGGATGGGCATGCACATGGACATGGACATGCACAAAATGGACACATGCCCACATCACATGGGCCCGCATAAAACCATGGGTGTCACGGGGAAATGATTTGTTATTGGTTTTCTAAAATCTCTCTCTGTGTGCCCACCCGGCCGGAGTGGCTCATCATGAGCGCATACGCGACACCAGGTGGCAGGTGCTTGAAGCCTTATGTATCTGTCGGTGGTGCCAACTGGCGCTTCGATTACCAGGCGTGACGCTGGCACGGAAACAAAAGAGATTAACTCCACAAACAAAGAACGAGAAAACGGAGCGATCGACGACGGGCGCCCGTGCACGGCGCTCGCCTCTCTCGGCTCTCGCTGGGGATGGCCCTCACACGCAAACCTCCTCGGCGCGTTTGGACACTACGTTCGGCACCACCCGGAGGTCTCTCAAACTTTGGTCGTGCTGGTGAGGTGCTCATTGCGATGTTTGATACGCGACCGCTGCAGCGCTGGGCGTCGGGTGGGGTCGGAGCAGGGTCTTACGACTACTGGTCCCTGGCGGCACGGCTCAACCAGCTATATGCGTGTCGACATGGCTACGACTTCCGTTACTTTCTCGAGGTGCGCAAAATGCCGGCGTGCGCCCGCTCGCCTTTTGTGCACTGCCCAGGCCTTGCTGCTGCTTTGCAGCACGGGCCGAGTCGCGCATCTTCCACTTCTACAGTCATATCTCTAGCGGCACGGGCGGGGCCGCGGAGTTCTTCTCACGCACCGATCGCAGGTGCGCGCCAGTGGCGAAGCAGTACCGCAGGTAAACGTGCTGGATGACTCCGGTAACTCGCCAAGCAAGGTTGCCGGCACGTGCTTGCTGCGTGGTGCTGAGTGGCGCGCGACGTCATGGTGAGCCGGGGCGTGAGATATGCAGTCAGCTGCGCAGGCGCTCAGACTTCATCACTTCGTCTTATCAGGTGCAAGCTGGCGGCGGTGGCACTCGGTCTCAGTCACGGCTACAGGACCGTCGTGATGATTGATTCTGACGCCTTTCTTCGCTCGGGGCGCCTCTCGCTCCGCATCGACGAGCTGGTCGCAGACCACGTGGCGAAGAGGCACGGGGAGTGGTCCTTCGCCAGCCAGCGGAATGGCGGGCCACGCACGCCGCTTTGGATGGCGGGCAATGCGCCGTTCAAGCCCGCGCAGCCGAACGCTGGACTGCAGGTGTGCCGCCGACATAGAGTCCGGAGACGTGGGAGGCGCTCACTGAGGCGCACACACACCGACCGGTGTCGGTTACCGGTCCGGACCGGATCCGGTGAGGCGAGGCGTGAGGAATGCGCGACCGTGCCACTGCGGGACCTTGGCGGGTCGCGTCTCGACCTCACCCAGCCTGCTAATCACAGGTATGGCGCGGCGGCCCCCTCCTAAACTCGAGCTGGGACGCGCTGCGCCGCTGGTGGGCAGCCGACGTCGGCGACTTCCACAACCGACATCACCCCTACGAGCAGGCGATGCCCCCCCTCTCCCGCGGCCACTTCCCCCCGGGCAGCATGCGCGCCATCTCGTCGAGAGGGCACGGGTTGCGCCCTCTAGGCGGGAATCAACAGGACGCTCGAGCGCGGGCGCGACTACGGTTTGCGAATTGTAGCCGAGAGCGCGCAAAACGCCACCCAAGTGCATCGCGTGGGGAGTTGAGGCCGACGTGGCATAAGCGCTCCTTCTGCGTGGCACCCAGGTGTGCTGCTCGGGCTCGAGTGGCTCAACAAGAGCGAGTGGCGCTCCCTGCCCGCCGCGCACATCTCCTCGGTCTCGCGATTCGACCGAATGCGCGCGCTCACACTGCACGCTCGATACCTGAGAGGAGCGACACTTCCCCTTCCACTCCCTGATGGTAGGGGTGTCGTTCCCTCACGGGAGGGGTGGTCATGCCGACACGCGCGCCACCATCACCTCAGGAGAGTGCTCGCTGCCACGCTGGCCAACATCCGCGGCAGCTTCTTACAAAGGTGCGGGCAGATGCCGAACGCGACGAGCATCGACGCAACTCGAACAGCCGAAAGGCTTCTCGAGCGTAGGGCGACCCAAAGCCGGGAGCACGCGCGGGAGTAGCGAGACCAAGTCGAGCGAGACCAACAAGTCGTGTTTTTTTTTTTAGGTGAGAGAAATAATATTGTCCGAGGAGGCCACCGGCCAAAAGCGCATGTCTTGAAGTAGCTGTGTGTGTATCGGTACGGCTGGGTGAGTGTGGGTGTGCGAGTGCGCGTCGCCTCTGTCTAAGGTAAGGTAAGGTAAACGTCTCCACACACACAAAGTGGTGGGGCAAGGGGGGGCAACCCTCGCATCTCCACGCCCGGACACGGGCAGGAGCCCCACGGCATTCAAAGTGCAAGCACCGGCCCGGTGCCGTGGGTGAGCAACCTGCACCCCACTCCCTCCCTCCCAGACACAGGACCCACACACAACCCCCACAGCGTGGACGACTACGTGTTCAGAAACACCAAGCAGCGAGGCGAGGGTGAAGGGGTAAGGGGCTGTGTGGGGCAGAATCTACATCTGACTACTCCATCTAGCCTGGGGGGTCGGAGGAGGGGGGGGCAGAAAGGGTAAGATATGGTTGAAGCCAGCTAGCGGTCGGACGCCCTGTCGGAATACTCCTCGGAGCCGGTGTCCTCGTCGTCGTCCTCGCCCGACGCGGAGATCGGGCGAGAGGTCTGCATCGCCTCGCCGGCTGTGAACCTGAACACGGCGTCGGCCGGCGCCGAGGCGCCGGCGGCCGTCATCAGGTGCATGACGAATCTGTCGCGGCATGCCGCATCTATCTCTCCATACTCGGCCAGCTCGGTTGCGAGCCAGTCCGAGGCGACGGTCGTCGCCACGGTCCCCTGGGGAACCTTGGCGTACACCTTGCTGGGGCCGCGCCGATATCCGTCGTCCCTCTCCGGGGGCAGCGAATATTCGACCTCTATTTTGGACCCGGCCTGGCTGCGCGTCTGCGCAGCTGCAGTCCGCAGCCCGGCCATCACGTACTGGATGTTCTCGCGCAGCTGCGCCCGCGGGGCCTCCGCGCGCTCGGCCTCGCTCGCGGCGCGCTCGCCAGCCTCCTTCGCCCGGCACGCCTTCTGCCGGGCCTTCTTGGCCTTGCGTGCCGCGGCCCGAGCCGCGAGCTGCTCCTTGGTGAGCTCCTTCTTCTTTGGCGCCTCTGTCTCCAGCAGGCGGAAAACACAAACCGGCAATGTACGATTCAATGTTCAAAATAAAAACAAAGTCAAAGAACTAGACAAATGCCAAATTCCAAATCGCAATAAACAATAAAACGGTCACGGCCTCTGAGACGAGATGGGATTTAGGGACATGTGTCCCCGCCCTGCACGATCTCTCTTGGGGGTGCGGTGCGCGGGAGGGAGATATCTTCCAATCCGGTCCCCTCACCGCGCCCTCTCTTCTCTGGTCACTGCAATAGAGCCGTTGTGTGTATGTGAAATTATGAATGTGTGTGTGTGTGTGTTTTCGCGTATGTTATCGTCGTCACATCACCCTGGTTTTGATAATTCCTCGCCACGCGGTCGGCCCACCCTCTCTCTCTGATCTCCGCAGCCTCTCTACTCGTCCTTCCCTTTTTCGCTCTGTTAAAGAGGTAGCCTCCACAGAAACCCGTCCTGCTGTGCCGGTGGTTCTGCCAACGCTGCGCCTGGCGGTCGCGACCCGCGTGCGACGATGCGGCGGTCTCGGCCGCGCGCAATGGCCTCGGGCCCGATGAGAATGGTTTGCCTCTCAATCTCTCGCCGCAAGTCATGGCTGGCCGTCTCGAGGAGCATCGCCGCGTCCTCGGCGTCAAAGAGCGCGCCCTCCATCCGGCACAGCTGCAACGCGGCCGCTTCCTCCCGCTGCTGCCGCCAGTGCATGTCGTGCTTGAAGACGCGGAACCGCCCCTCGAGCCGCCGCATCCGCCCCTCCGCCTCGTCGATGGCCTCGCCGACCTCGCGCAGCACCTGAGCCCACGGAGGGGCGAGCATGGGCATGCAGCCCCAGCCCCACCCAACCGCACAGCCCTAACACCTGCGCGCGGCCGCGCCGCTGTGCCGGACCTCCGCCGCGTCTCGATGTCCGCGCCGCCGGCGCGACCGCCACCGGCTCCCCAGCCGCAGGCTTGAAGAGCCCGCCCCACCCGCGCTTCAAAGAGGACCAGAGGTCGCCGCTCGCCTCCGCAGCCTCCGCGCCGGGCGGAGGCGCCTCCTCCTCCTCGCAGCTGTCCCGCCCGCTCTCCGTCTCCTCGAGCCCTCCTCTCTCGAGCTCGGCGAGAAGGAAGCCGAAATGCGTGAGGTCGACGCCGCCGTCGCCTCCTCCTCCGACGGTAGACGCGGCTGCCTCCGATCGCGACGTGCCGCCGGCGCCGGCGCCGCCCGCCAGCCTCGAGCCCACGCCGACGTTGCTGATCGAGTCGTCTGGTCCAATCTCAGACTCGCCGCGCTCCGAGTGGATCACCGAGGCGCGCGCGCTGAGGTTGCTCAGCGAGTCGTGCGGGCCGAGCTCCGAGGAAGCGTGGGCCGCGTTCAGCTTTGCGGCGGCGAGGGAGAGCTGCGAAGGATGCACCTGTGTGTGTGTGTGTGTGTGTGTGTGTGTGTGTGTGTGTGTGTGTGTGTGTGTGTGTGTGTGTGTTTGAGGGAGGGGGGGGGGGCACCTGTCGAGGCTCTCGCTGCGGCGGCAGGGGCGGCAGGGGCGCATCTCGGCTTCACGGCTGCTTCTCGGCTATGTCCCGCCCGCAGGAGGAGGGGCAAGTGCGGGATCCAGTGGCGGAGAGGGACCTGCCAGCACGGCTGGGAGGGAGTCAGGCGGCGCGCATCGGAAGGGGGGGGGGGGGGGGAAGGGGGAAGGGGGAAGGGGGGGGGGTAAGGGGGAAGCCCCCCCCCCCCCGCCAGGGCCGTGAAAATGGGCAAAAACTGGTCAATTCCCTCCCCAAGGGTTGGACCTGGACAAAGCAAACCGCTTTGGCCCCTCGAAACCCTAAAGTGTGGCCCCGCCCCCGCTCCCGCCGGTGCCCCCAATGGGGGGCTGCACGAGGGGGGGCCCCCCAGGAGGGCGGGAAACCTGTTCAAACCCGGCCCCGGGGGAAATCTCTCTGCTACGGG